GTGGGCAGTGTTTGTATGGGGGGCAGTGTGTGGGTGGGGGCACTGTATGTGTGTGGGGGCAGTGTGTGCATGGGGGCACTGTATGTTTGTGGGGCAGTGTGTGTATGGGGGCAATGTGTGTATGGGGGCAGTGTGTGCATGGGGCACTGTATGTTTGTGGGGCAGTGTGTGTATGGGGGCAATGTGTGTATGGGGGGCAGTGTATGTTTGTGGGGCAGTGTGTGCATGGGGGTCAGTGTATGTTTGTGGGGCAGTGTGTGCATGGGGGTCAGTGTATGTTTGTGGGGCATTGTGTGTATAGGGGGCAGTGTATGTTTGGGGGGCAGTGTGTGTATGTGGGGCAGTGTATGTTTTTGGGGCAGTGTGTGTATGGGGGGCAATGTATGTATGGGGGGCAATGTATGTTTTTGGGGCAGGGTGTGTTTGTGGAGCAATGTGTGTATGGGAGGCAGTGTATGTTTGTGGGGCAGTGTGTGTATGGGGGGGCAATGTATGTTTGTAGGGCAGTATAAGTTTGTGGGGCAGTGTATGTTTGTGGGGTAGTGTGTGTATGGGGGACAGTGTATGTTTGTGGAGCAGTGTGTGTATGGGGGGGGAGGAATGTAGGGAGGCTTTTTAACAATGTTTTTTTATTACATTTACTGAGGGAGGAGGGGGACATTTTTGGATCCCTGGTGGTCTAGTGGGGAATCCCTGGTGGTCCCAGTGGTTAGAGTGAACTCTAGCCTGTAGCTCCAGGGCTAGAGTTCACTCTAACGAGATTTGGAGCATTGCCGTGGTAAGCGCAGCAACGCTTCGTGCTCGCGAGAAAAGGACCCGGAGGAGCTGCAGGCTGAGCTTCCAGGTCCTCTCTACCTTCCTCCCCTGCATATATGCATATATGCATATTAGGTAAATATTTGCATAAATTAATACCTAAATATTTCAGGTAATCCCTCCTCCAATCGAACGAATATGTTAATTTTAATTCATCCATGTCAGACTGTTGCAAATGAAAAGGTAGGGCCTGGGTCTTAGATATATTTAATATATAATAAGACACTTCTCCAAACTGGAGTAGAATAGTATTGAGAGATTCCAGAGAGTCTTTTGGGTTTTTGAGTGCTAGTATGACGTCATCTGCAAATAACCCTATTTTATGAGCGGATCCCTTAATGTTAATACCTGCGATTTCTGGGGTCGTCCTAATCAATTCAGCCTGGGGTTCCATCACCAGGACAAAAACAATTGGAGATAAGGGACAACCCTGACGTGTCCCATTAGTTAGAGAAAACGTTCTGGATTGGAAACCCGAGGCCAATACGTGAGCTGTGGGTGCACAATATAGTGCCTTAATTGCAGTGATAAAAGATTGTGGAATATCAAATCTACTCAGTGTCTTCCATAGATATCCCCAACGTACCCTGTCGAACGCCAATGAAAGGAGCAGAGAAGGAGTTTTTGTTCAATTGATATGCTGAATCAAGTTGATGAACCGTCTCGTTCCATGAGGAGCCTGTCTACCCTGAACGAATCCAACCTGGTCATTCTTGATCAATAAAGGTATTAAATTAGTTAAACTGTTCGCTAGTATCATAGAATAAATTTTTGTGTCGTTATTAATAAAGGATATGGGCCGAAAATTAGAGTATCTGTCAGGAGTTTTACCAGGTTTTGGCAAGGTGACAATCTGTGCGGACAAAGACTCTCCCGGCATCTTCCCCCCTGACTTATAGGAGTTAAATAATTTGGACATATGGGGAATTAAAGTTTCTGCAAAGGTCTTATAATATAAAATGGTGAATCCATCAGGTCCAGGGGCCTTTCCAGACGGCGTGAGCTTGATCGCCTCGGCTATCTCGGATATATCACACTCTAGTTTTTCCAAATTGTCAGAAGACAGCCGAGGTAATGAAACCCTGTCTAAATAATTATTAATAGTCGCCTCAGACGGCTGGGTGAAATTTATATCAGATTCCAAATTATAAAGTTCACTATAATATTTAGCAAATTGGTCGCTAATATTATTCGGGTGAAATATATTTTGTCTCTTATCATCTATTAAGTATGACATTTTAGATTGGGCATTCACCTGCCGAAGTTTGGACACCAGGAGAGTTGAGGCCTTGTTACCTTTTAAGTAAAACATTTTCTTGAGGCATCTCACCATGAGAGTAGTTCTATCCAAATGTATTTCATGTATTTTTGATTTAAGCTCACCTATCATTGCAGACAAGGAGGAAGACGGGCCAAATTTATTTGGCTGATTTAGGTTGTACAGTTATTTTTCCAAATTTCTTAAATTGCTGTTATTTTTCCTCTTCAAGTGAGATGCCCTAGAAATGAAATGGCCCCTTAACACAGCCTTGTGCGCATACCATGTCACCTCGCCAGTAACCTCATGTGAAACATTTTCCAAAAAATATGCAAAATGCAATTTTTAATTTTTAGTTGTGCTTAAACTATGTCAGCAAGGTTAACACAATAAAAATACACCTAGGAGGAATCATTATCAAAGAGGGAGTCATTGCTGTTTGTGGCATAGCTTTGTACCCTGCACTTTCCTATAATCAGCGTGTAGCATTAGAGTCGTTATTATTAATATGGATATTTTGTCAAACCAAATGGAGAACACTGGACACTGGAGATACAGTTGATAGTATCATCACTCTAGACCAGGCTTTGCCTATCTGATATTGTATCCTGTGTATTTCAAAATGTCAGATCCCTTTGATTAGCATGTTGCGTGACATGGTGTGTAAGCAACTGGAAGTACTACATGTTTATGCTAATCAAAAATCAAACAGTCTGTGCATTTCATCTGACCATTTAAAAGATTATTTACAATGTGCCAACCTCAGTTGTATCATATCTAGGTGTAGGATTAACCGAGAATTCTATCAATGCCCTTCTTTCACCCATCACATGCTAAATTGCTGAACAAGCTTCAACGAAGCTTGAGGCCTGGATTTTTCTGGAGAATTAGCAGATTGAAGAGCATACTAACTTCTCTGCATGAGGTATCCAGCCTCTATGGAGATAGGTTTCATAACACAGAAGACACGTACTGCAGCCGCAAATTAAACTAGAGATTTTGGGAGGCAAGTCAATGGCCTCAACTACCCTATTAGATGATGAAGTTGCCATGCAGACTGCAATAGATAGCTATAGGACCTCTCAACCTAACTCAGGGACCCTCACAGAGATTCTGGGAATGTCCCTTGCTACTAAAGAATATATTTCAAATCGATATGAAAACATACGAAAATTATTCAATGCCGACATTGCCTTGGGGAAAACACCAAGTACAAACAGTAACGTCCAGGTTCAAGCAAATGAGGAGGATGCGTTGGATCTTAAGCAGGACCCATCTGCTCTAGAGGAAATCGTACAAGTGAGGGGGAGACAGGGGCTGCTGAGTGAGAGGGGATATGGGGTTGCTGGTTGAGAGGGGGAGACAGTGGCTGCTGAGTGAGAGGGGACATGGGGCTGCTGCGTAAGAGGGCTGGGGTTGCTGTTTGAAAGAGGAGGACATGGGGCAAAAAAAACCCTTGAATTTCGAAATTATGTAAAAAATGTGTAAGCTCATAAGGAACTTTTCTTTCCAACCCCTAGTTTGGGCATTTGGGGAACTTCTAGCAAAGATCTAAATTTGCCAACTCCTTTTATTACCTTTTGATATTTGCTCAGATTACTCCTGTGCATGGTTTCTTCTGGATTTCAGAAATACGTGTATCTAGGTCCAGAAAGATAGTAATGTAACAGCGACTAAATTAAATGGAATTGTGGCCTTTGACATTAATGATAGACAGAGTATAAGCTGATGCTCTCATAATGCAAATTCTAGCAGTCCTAAAACAATGTACATAAACATCTGCATTCGGAAATGTTGCTAAATGACAAGGCACCTTACAGTGCACCAGGATGCAGATTGGAGCCAGGTAACGTGACACTTTGTAAGTACAATGAAGATGTCTTGAAGATTGGGAGAAGTCAAATGAAGCTGTTTTGTAGAATTCCTCTTTCAACATATAATAACTAAATAATTCCTGAATTCCTTAATTCTTGAATGGATCAGAAACGTAGGCCTCCATTTAATAAGCTTTCCAAATGATTCAATACTGTTAGAAAAAACTTTCCAAATTATGTATATGCAAACATTCCCATAGATTTTAAAGGCGACTTCTGTAGATTTGGCATTTTTATAACAGTATCGAATCATATGGAAACCTACTAAATTAATGCCATAATGTCGTATAGGTTATTTGAGTCCCCAGTTAAATTTTTTTTTTTTTGAGAATTACTGGTTTAAAGCAACATTATTTGCTGAGACCCTTTTCATTGCCACTCTCCTTCCCTATGGAGTACAATGATAAATAGCAATGAAAGTATGAGTGAGTAGAACTTTGGATTTTATTCTTACACAATGCGGAAAATGTAAAGATAAAACTCAATAAATGCAAGCTATTGGGCAAGAATTCAGTAATAGGGTGAATAGAGTTTATTCAGTGTGTTCTCTTGGAACAGTTTATCACTGTACTCTCAATTTCATTATGAAATATGTAAAGCCATGTAGTTCTCCATTGAGATTTGTCCCGAAGGATATAAATAATATTCCAAAGCTAATATTAAATAAATTAATTTTGAGTATAAAGACACTGAATGAAAAGTGCATGTTTTAATGTAATCCATGCTTAGCAGGCAGCAATAAAAATGATTGCTTAAAAATCTCCCCCAGATGGTGACCCCATCCTGAGAGCACAGAGAACTATTCATTCTATGGATTACCTTCTGCACCCTTTCAAAGTTTCATTTCTCTTCTTCTTTATAAAAACAGCTTACCTGTCATGTGCCATGTATGAGAAATAGCTTGAAGTTCCACTGTTATACTAGAGCAAACGGAAAGAGAATCAACGGTGAGACCCTTAAAGAGGTACCAAATATATTAAATACTAAAAGAACACTTCATGTTGAGCCAAAAATGTAATGTATTCCTTTACTGTGTGGTACGTTGAACACTAGATGCAGGACTGTATTGGCATGGAGCTGAAGAAAATGAAGGGCCTAATGAGAGAAGTCAGATGGCCAGGTGCATGTGCTTTGTTTACTTGAGGAAGAGATGGCAGCAGGATGCACTTCGGGAAGAAGGCAGGACAACGAAGGCAGTATTATGCTCTGAGCAATGTTCTGCTGGGAAACCGTGAGTCTTGGCATTTATGTGGATGCTACTTTGACACGTACCACCTACTTGGAGATTGTTGCATACCAAGTATATGCCTTCATGTCAGTGGTGTTCACTGATGGCAGTGGCCTCTTTCAGACAGAAAATGCATCCTGCCACACTCCAATAATTGTCCAGGAATGGTTTGGGGAACATGATAAAGAGTTCAAGGTGTTACTTTGGCCAGGGGCGGGCTGGGCCGGGGGGCAGGGAGGCAATTGCCCCCCAGGCCGTCCTAAATTCTGTCAGGACCGGCCGCTGCAGGGCCGGCCCTTTAAATGCTGCAGCCGCCTGAGCGCTCTGTTAAGAGCCTCAGGGCTGCAGCACATATTCTCCCCTCCCCTGTAGCTGGCCGAGCTGCTCCGCTGTCCACGGTGCCGGCCGGACTGATAGGAAGGAGTGTGCACTTCCTGTCAGTCCGGCCGGTTACAGGAAACAGAAACTCCGCGCGGAACAGGAGTTTCTGTTTCCTGTAACCACCGGACTGACAGGAAGTGCACACTCCTTCCTATCAGTCCGTCCGGCACCGTGGACAGCGGAGCAGCTCGGCCAGCTACAGGGGAGGGGAGAGAAAGTGAGGGGGGGGATTAATAAGAATGGGGAGGGG